TCCAGAACGAACGAACCTCCGGAAGGAGGTAGAGGCCCTGCAGCTGCCTGGTAACTCGGGTTCGGGCGAATCCTTTTCTTTTTCGGCGCCAGGCTTTGGCGTCGAAGAGAGATCATCGATGATTCGTGGACGACCCAAACTTGTGACGAACTTGCGCCAAAAAACACGTATTGTCCAACAGCAAGTTAAGATGCTAGTTGAATGATGTAAAGAGACAACTGTTATTGCACCAAACTTATCCCACAAGTTGGGCATATACAGATAAAGTGGGAATATAAGTAGTGTGCTCAAATGTGTCGGAAAGTTTAGCTCATCGACAATCTCACTATAAAATAAGATATGATGTAGGCCTGGTCTTTCTTGAAACTCCTGTCTAGAGTGTACACAGCAAATTGAGAATACCTTTTGTGAAATTCAATGCGGATGTGCAAACTGATCATATGCTTGTGGGAAAAATCAGCCATTGGTCGTTCAACACTATATGCTATAATAACTCATATACAATTCGTGATATGCTTCATTAAAACCGCAAAGTTGAGTACAAGAAGCGAGTAGGGTTGGAGTCGGCCACTTTTGTGGTTTAGTGTAATGACGCCTTATTTCCTGGATGATGTTCTTTGGTTATGTGGATATAAATGTCAGAAGTACGGACGAAAGGTCAGCGCATATTCGCTGGGGTCAATGGGCATACATGTACAGTTATAACTGCTTAAAGGAAGTCCTCTTTCGCAAGAACACAGTAGATGCACAACTATATCGATATTGGTATGACAACTTATAATTGTGAAAATATATCTACAGACGCATGGTATTCTCCAGAAGATAGCGCTCACAGTTTGTTAGAATAGATCGCTCGTCAACAGGGCTTTGAGCTCCGCTTGCATATTCGTGGCGAACAGTAATCGAAAGTGGTATTCACCCTATTTTGCCTAAGGTGACGAAGGATTGGTAGTAGAATTTTGCCACAATGATGTGAGTAAAGCTGACTTTTTCATTCAATTTCACATAGCCTTGCTTTCCCAAAAGTTGTTCTCATCCAGGCTGAGATGGACTGCAGTTTCGACCTCGCATCACCAGCGGGACTCGAACCATGGCAAACTTATATTTGCTAGAGCAATCGACAACATTAATTGTTTTGTAAATGAGCAGGTTTTCGAGACTATTCTATTCACTCTATTTCTTTTAGCTGGTAGTTGATGTTTCCCAACTTATTTATGAAAAGTAACTAATTTAGAGCATTTTCATTCGAGGCGAAATTGTGTATGAGTGCGATGAATAGACCCGAACGTTGAGTCCATGAGTAGATAAAGATGGATTCCTTGTGGGTATATTATTTCGTGATATCGCCAAGGCAATCAACATCACATCGGTTAAAGATGTGCTCAACTGGCTGCTGTAATGCAGGATGACAGTCGTGATCAGAAATCCCCAAAATAATGTTCAATTTTATTAAATTTATGTCTAATGTTGTGCATTCACAAGAAAAACAAAAAAGGGAGAATCACAAAAAGATAGGATGAGATGAGATGAGGCGTGTGAATGATGAGTGATAAGATTAGGTGAGATTAGATAACAGGAAATAAGATAAGTTGAGATGAGATGAAATGAAGCGATATGAGAAAGGACAATGTAAGATAAGATGAGAAAATTTAATTAAAATAGAGTTTATTTGAGATTACATGAAATGGGAAAGGTTGATGTTAGAAGAGGTGAGATGAAAGATTGGATGAGATGATATTAAATAAGATGGTATGTTATATGAAAATATGAGTAAAGATGAGATGAGAAGGGATAAGATAAAGTGAGACTTGACTGGATTAAATGAGAGGATTTAAGATGGGATTAGATAAAATGAGCTGAGATGGTTCGGGATAATTTTTGTTAGATAAGCCGACCTATGAGGAGATGGTATGAATTGAGTATTTTATTACTATTAGATTCGACATTCTTTACGTAATGCTAAATCATAACTTGCTTTGTATTCCACTCTCTTCTTCTTGAGAGATTGCCTTTTTAATCTCTCATTTGCACACACATACTCTTTACTCTGTACATAAGTTATCTGGATTTACATCTCCTGTAAATCTCAATGGGTCCTGCCTAATTTCGACTGGACTAGACTGCAGGACATACATTGCTTCTCCATTTCTGATCAATCCCTCACCTACTCGCGTTCGGTACCACTTTCCTACCTCGCTAAGTCTGTGTGACAGGACATATCGACTTCCCAGGCGAGCCAAGC